AACAAATCAAAACACTGAATGCAGCCAATGCAGAATCATGCGATGCAAAGCGCAAACGACTTTTTTCTCCTCTTAAGGGTCAGAACTTGTCTTTGTTGGAAAATGGTCCACAAACACTGTCGCCCTGGTCCCTGCGAGTCACCGCCAGCAACATCCCCGCCCACAAACAAACCAACAGCAACAAGGCGGAATGCTGCCAAACAACAAAAGACAACAAGGCGGAATGCCGCCAAACCAACAAACCACAACAAGGCGGAATGCCGCTAAACAAACAAAAACAGAGGTGACAACAATTTCGCGAAAACAGATGCGCAGACACAAAAAAAAATATACATCGGCTTCCAACTTAAAAGCAACGATTTAATAATAAACACAATAAAATTAGGACCTGGGCATCAAATTTTTGCAGCCTGAGAAAAAGTATTGAATTTCAGACGTTTTGGACATAACTTCGATAACTTCGACAACTATTTTGGACATAACTTCCACAACTCTTATAACTACGTTATAAGTAGCCAAACTTTCGGATAGAACTTAAGGAGCTTAACCAAGTTAACCAAGTTAAAACCATACTTATCCAAAATAAAACCATAGTAACCATAGTGTATATCGCTGCTCATCTTCACATCTACATTCACAACTGCACATCTACATCTCTGCACATCTTCACATCCTCACATCGACATCTCTGCTCGATCTTCATCTTCACAGATCTACATCTCTGCTCATGTTCACATCTGCACATCTACATCTCTGCTCATCTTCACATCCTCACATCTACATCCTCACATCTACATCTCACATCTTTACCTCTCATCTACATCTCACATCTTCACCTCTCGCTCTTCTTGACTTTCTCTCTTAAGGCTGGGGGCAGCGCCGCCGGACCGCCACGAAACGCAACCCTCTGCGGAGATCGTGCGTGTCGGACGCGCGAAATGCAGACGAGAGTGCGATTTGTCCCGGTCGCGGGCAACCCTCCGGAGATCGTGCGTGTCGGGTGCGCGAAATGCAGGCGAGAGTGCGATTTGTCCCGGTCCGGAGCAACCCTCTGCGGAGATCGTGCGCGTCGAACGCGCGAAATGCAGGCGAGAGTGCGATTTGTCCAGGTCGCGGGCAACCCTCTGCGGAGATCGTGCGCGTCGGATGCGTGAAATGCAGGCGAGAGTGCGATTTGTCCCGGTCCGGAGCAACCCTCTGCGGAGATCGTGTGTGTCGAGGGAGCGAAATGCAGGCAAGAGTGCGACTTGTCCCGGTCCGGCGCAACCCTCTGCGGAGATCGTGCGTGTCGACTTTGTAGTATACAACTGTAGTACGCGGAGCAATCTGTGGAGCTGGAAGCTGAGAACTGGCGACTTTGTAGTACAACTTGAGTACGCGGAGTATCTGTGGAGCTGGAAGATGAGAACTGGCGACTTTCTAGGTACGACTTTATCTGGGGAGCTGGAAGATGAGAACTGGCGACTTTGTAGTACAACT